GCTGATATACAGCTAGTGATGGTTAGAACTTGGAATTACTGTTTTGTGAAGAATGTCAACATTTTGACATTTGTTGCTATTCTCAGGGTAGAAAGGAACTGCATATTCATCTGGAAATTTTGAAATGTCATGTTGAAATCGCAAATTCAACTCTGAATTTTGGAATTTCACCTTTTATTTCATTTTACATTAGCTTTCTGTCTTTTTTAATTCATTAAATGCCAAAGTATAATATTTTAAATAAACCTTTTTAATTTTACTTGGTTTTGCTTTATTTTAGCATTTTAAAACTATGGGAAGGCACTGTCTCACACTGACAGAAAACCAACTTCAACCATCGTTTTACACCGTCTCTGAATCCCATCCAGTGGAAATTTTTGATATGTGACTTTAGGGAAGAGGACACTTGGGTGGAGATATGAGATTTTGGGGGAGAAGACACTCAGGGGGAGGAAGGCAGTGTATAGCAAGCTGCCTGCCTTTCTCGACAAGCAAAAAGCAAAGCTAAGAAAGAATATATGCCTGTGACAGCAGGAGGGAATCTGGCAGATTGCATTTATTCATCTGCAGAGAACAAAAAATTCCTAGTCACTTAGATTAACAGCAAACAGCAAGAGCATTAGTCTCAGTTCAAACGCAAGTGCCGGAGGTATCTACTTTATGTGAGTGATGGCAGACTGTAAAAATTATTAAACCGGTACAAGAGAAGTGCATCAGTCATAGCAAAGAACACTGGTGAGCAGATGTTTCTGAGGCAAAGATGAAACTTCCAAGCGAATGTCCCCATCACAGGTATTAAATCAGTGGAAAAACTGACAAAAGCTGTGTAAAATGAGAAAACAGCGAGCCGTCACAGTCCCCTTTTGGGCACTGCAAGTTTCATGAGACCGTGTCGATGCTGGTTGCAGCAGGCAGCAAAGAAACATCACCTCCTGCAGCGCAGAAACGATGCGGTGGTTGAGGTCTGCTAATCACGAGCAGCCACCACCACCTAAACCATGCCAAAAGCATAAGCTGCTTCATTAATTTTACCTCCTGATTTCCAGTTGTCTCCCCACTTAATTTCCACAGTGCTCACCTAGAATGGTGCACAACACTGAAGGGCTGTCTGAAGAGGAGGTCATGCTCCATATGCACTGATGCCTGTATGTATGTAAATGGGGACAATGGGACTCACTGTGTGGGCTAAACGCGTTAGGGAACTCGTACACTTGTGCCGTGTTAGTGAGAACAGACACAGCTACCAAAGGGACACTGCTCCCTTACTCCTTCCAGCAAATCTGCAGCAAAGGAGCATGGCTTTGGATGCTATACTAAATCAGAGCTACAAGACACTTTTGTCCTCCCCAAATCAGCAGATCGCTCTCAAGAGATCAATGTTTTTGTTAAGATTTCCACTATTCTGGACCAAAAGCACAAGCTGTCCCAAGTGATTTCAGTGGCACCCAGTCTGGATGCCAAAAATGTGCAGGTCCCTTTGGGAGAGAATGTGGTCCCAGACCTATGAGTAGATTCATAAACAAGAAGGAGAATACAAGGGATCCGAGACCTAGGAAGGACAGACCTCCCAGGTGTCTACAGTGGCCACCCCTCAAATACAGCAGGATCCACATGAGGTCCCTCAAAGGTCCACAAAGCCACCTGGGAGACATGCAATAGTGTCTAAAAAACACTCAAACATGACCAAAACCACTGAAAGGACCTAGACCTATTTGGAGATAAGAGAGCTCGACAAGGGTATTTGGTGTCTTAACCAGTCCAGCACAGAAACATTTGATGATAGCTGAGCTGGTCAGTGGTGAGAGTTTCGTCAACTCTGTTTTGGCCACAGGCCAAACTTGCAGGAAATCTCCACGTCAGAAGCTGGCTTTGCCATTTTTGTTTTCTACTGTGGACATCTTGGTGCCAGAAATCAGCCTACCTAATGAGTCACCCTGGTCTTGTGCTCTCTGGCCTTTGGGAGGGGAGAATTTAGGAGAGAGGCTTCAGACTTTGACTTGGTCTGAGTGGGCACAGCACTGCTGTCAAAAAACACAAGAGCAGCCGGTTGTGTCACATGTTTCTGTGGTGGTCTCATGACAACTCCGCTGCTGCTTCTACAGAAATCCCCACCGTTTACCGCTGAGAGGAGAAAGTTCCTGAGGTTTTTGGCCAGGAATGCCCTTGAAGCACATGAAGGTTTAAATGAGGACATGTACTCCACCAGTTCATTTCCTAACTAGGACTTGGGCATTAATGCTAGACGGGGTGCTACACAAGACTAAAATGCACAGAGGTTTCACATGCATGACTCTCACTTCCATAACTGGCCCAAGGACAGAATGCAACGCAGCATTGTGTGTGAGTAGAACTCATTGTTCTCAGCGGGCTTTAAGAACCAGTACAGATTATTTGCTGTTCCCATACCGATCCAGATTTATTTTGGATCAGCAGCGACTTCAACATGATTAGTACGCAGCAAAAAACACAGAGCCACAGTACCGTGAACCTCTTCCTAGCCAGAATGCAAAATATAAACATCCTTTTTTTTTTTTTACCCTTTAAAAACCCTAAACAAATTTAATGAAAAATTTTACCTCTCACAGTGATGGATCATGGTATGTATTAGAATTAACGGCCATGAACTTCTAATCTGAGATGGATTTTTTACAACATCCTCACTATTTTGCACCCAAAGTGCGTTCAAAATTAAGAATGCGCTTTTTTGAATACATTTAGAAATTGTTTTATATTTTAAAATCATTCCCTTGCAAGAAGAAAAATTCCTAAAGAGGTCTTCTTGCATTTTATGTGATATATATTAATGCCTGCTTCTTACCCTGGCTTCTCAAATCAATTTCCTTAACTGAAAGGCCTCAAACCAACCTTGAAAAGGCAAAACACAACTAAATGCAGAAGCCAGTTGTGTGTAGGAAAATACATTAAAATTCACATTGTAACCCACCAGTCAAATTACAGTGACAATTCTCCCTATCAGATATCTGGCTCTAACATACCCCTCCTTTTTTTCTCTTTAAATAAAATCATTCTAGAAGTTGATTTTATGAATGAGTTAGTCTGCAAAGGAAGAAAACAGCATGCGGTAAAACTGGATAACACTGCTTCATTGGCAAAGCATACAGTGTTTTATTACTGAGCATTTCCTGTCAGACTGTAAGATCACCTTCAATTCTTCACCAATTCAACTATATGTGTTACAAAGCAGCAATCAAGCAGAGTCTGCCACCAATATGTCAGAGAAGAGTTGTAAGTTCAAAAGTGAAATAGGTAATAACGCAGATATTTAGTAGGCTTGAAGGGAGTGAAAGTTCTGGAGGGATTTATCACCAAGCAGATAATAGTCTGTTTTGCAGAAGAACTGAAATTATTTTTATAGAGATATTTATGAAGTACTTCTGCATGTGTATTTGCAAATGCCACGTGCACACACAAACATATATATATAAATATATATATATGCATACATGAAACCCCAAACTTGAGCTAAATTAAATTGTCCCTCCAGCTTTGTTATGCAAATGAGACTAACAGGCTTGTGCTGTTTGTGGTTCGAGATGATTTGCGTTTCCATAGAGATGCTGACTGAACTAAAGTTTTTAAATTTTTTATATATATAAGCCTACTTGTATCTATAAAAGTCTAAATATGGATCTGCTGTACCTCAGCACTTCCTCAGTGACTCCACTGGAACCACAGCAATTTACACGAGTTAAGGCTATGTGCAAATTTTGTGTCTTTCACTACTTTCCAATCTAAGCTCTATACCAAGTACCTGCAGAGCTGAGAGTTTATTACTTCTCTCCCCACTCCTAGCTTCTTGGTAAGGAAGGGGAAGAAAAGAGAAAAAGCAGTTTCTTAGCTGCTAGTAGATAATACTTCAAGGACTTCTGTAATTTATTGCCCTCTCTAAACTGCCTGGAGAAACATCTTTGTCTTCAAAAGTTCCCACTGTCAGGAAATCTGGAATTCAGGGAAAACAGTCTGTGTGCTTCTAGTAAAGGAAATGCCAAAAGGACAGACTTTCTGTTATGTGTCAGAAGCTTTTTCCTCTTTCCCTGTGAGCACCCACAAGCTGAAGAGCAGGGACGTGCTGAGACGAGCCAGGGTGGGCCTGGGCAGTGTTGGGTTCACCGCCTCCTCCCCCTGGGCTTGGCCATCCTCATCCTTCGGTGGACCCTAAGCCCATCATACACTACGAGCACCCCACAAAGCTAAGCTCCTTTCCCCCCCCAGAGCCACGTTAGAGACGGCCACCAGCAGAAGTGACAAAAGCCAGTCAGGGTCAAAGTCTGGGCAGAGAAACCAGGCAGAGCAGTTTAATTTTCTATCTCAAATCGGCTTCACTTTATGAGGTTTGGGCACTGGTTCAAGTGGATGGAGGCCACCCGCTGTACCATCACCTGAGAGGAAAATCAGAGCTGAGCTCTGTGGGAACTCATTTCCATGTGGTTTCAAACAGCGACACACCAGAGGTCAACCTCTGCAATCGCTCTGAACCACAATCAAAACCAGCCTCTTGTGTACCTCCTATCTGCCTGAGAAGAGGAAGGATTTGTCCAGTGAACCAGAGGTGTCCACAAGCACACGGAACAGAAGCTCACACCCAACCTCTTGTTTGATCTTGGGAGGGCCTGGAAGGAAAGACCCACGTGCAGCGACGCCGTACAGAAGTACGGCCAGCGAGCTCCTCGAGTAACGGCATGTCAGAGGGATGAAACCTCCCTCCTGCCCGCAGGGTGACACCATGCCTCCGCACGTGACACCGTCTCGCTCTTTGGGGCTGACAGCTTTTGTAAGCCCCCACAAAAGCCTCTTTTCAAACCAGATGAGAGTTCCCTACTTCCAGCTTTTAAGCAGCCGTATGGAGGGAGACTTGTCCCAAGCCCCCGCAGGCACCATTTAACCCCCCCACACCGCCTTTCAGGAAGGGTCCCAGGGCACGTTCAGCTGTGTGGCTCTCCACTCCCGCAGGGAGGCCAGCGAGCACCCACATCTCCTACCTTTTGCTGCATCGCAGGTGGCTGCGGGGCCAGCACCGGGTCAGTGATGTAGGTCTTCTTCGTGCCGGGCGGCTGGTAGAGCCCGGGAGGAGCCTGGCCCACGGTGTTACTGGCGGGATATGCTGGCTCGGCCTTCCAGGTGCTCTGTGGCACATAGGGCGCTTCAGAGCCGTTCCTCCCCCCGTACCCCCCGTAGTAGGGGTCCTGGTAGCGGCCCTGAGGAGGTGCATAGCCATAGGCGGGCTCTGAGGGCCGGGCGGGCGGCGG